GATATGAAAACTGCATATGTGTAAACTGGAAATCTCTCAACAGTAGTATCCCATCTAACCAAAAATTCAACATCCAGAAAGTACAGAGCAAAAACTGCTTTTTATTTTTGTGGGCAAAATTTCTTATTCTGCTGCCACTGCAGACTCAATATATTTCAGAAAGTGGTTGTTAATTAGATACACTGTTCATCAGATAATTTATAAAACTGAGTATGGCTACCAGCTCTATATTTGCTCACTTACCATTTCCACTTGGGCTGACATTCAAATACTCCACCATGTTTTGGAAAACTGGCACAGAAGTTAAACCAAATTGCATGAGGAGCAGAAGCCACTTCCACACACTGCTCACTGCCAGTTGGTATGAAAGGTGAATATCTCCTTTTCTCATGGCCTATGACTGACCTTTCATAATGTTTTATGTGTTTTCATTCATACTTTTCTAAATGTTGCTTTCTAAAAGCAAAAAGACTAATGTAATGGGGCTAAAACATGACTTCTCTCCATCTCTGCTGGCTGAGGAAACAAATCACATAACACTGGCTTAAAGACTGCCATATCATAAGCATTTCCTTCTGTTTAGCTTGGAAATGTGTGTTTATTGTTGTTTAAAGCCGATCAGTGCTCCCACAGCTTCTCTACCTCATTTGCAGTAATAGAAGGCAGTAGATCACACTTACTTTTTAAGGACCACCTGTACTTGTGAGACGCTGACAGTGTGGACTGTGTAGAAAGAAAGATGTAGCTTGAGGAAGAAAGATGGAAGTTGAAGTCAGATTGTGGAAGTCTATGGGGGGAAAAAAACATCGACTCCTTTGATTCATGCCCTCAGTAGACAGTTTGCTGTTTACTTGTAGTGAAAAGGTATGATAAAGAATGGTCTGGTTTTGTGATTGCCTACCTTGTGATTGACAAGTCAATCTTGTATGAGCATGACTCTTTTAGTTTCCTACTAGCAGAAATGCACTCTGGTTTCAACACACAAAGGTGGCAACAGAAAAAGCTTCCCACTGGGACTTCATTAACCAAAATGTGACTCTAAGGTGGCTGTGCCCATATTTTGCATATAGACAGTGGTTGACAGTCACTGAAAAAGTACATTCAGTAACTGCAACCATTGCAGTCACAATGTAAGCAGTGAAAACTGTACATTTAATCTTCAGTTAACATCGCACGCTGGTTTTAGGATGAAGAAGAAGCTGTGTCTCTGCTTGAACATTGTATAACAGCATGGTTTCTGAGCAGATCGTTTTAAATATTAGCATTTGAGGCTAACCAAAATAAAATACTGAAATGTAGCTAATATACAGGAAGCGGACTGATCCAGATTTTGGTTTCCATGTGCGTGTAAACTCACTCAACATTAGATTAAACTTTCAAATATTTATTTTTGTTTTAGAGAGATTACAATCCTAAAATAAGCATATGTATTTTCTCTGTTCTCTCAGGAGGAGATGGAGAACAAGGCCATGTATCTGAGCACAAATGAAGAGAGAGAGAACGTCTCGATTTATGAAGAGGCCTATGATGGACACAACTTGTCCAAACTCAACCTGTGTGATGAAGGTAGGAGGAATAACTGAGCTGTGAAAGTGCTGAGTTGAACACAAGGCTTGCTGCTTTAGTTCTTTTAACTAAAATGCAGGCTTTTTCCAAAGGAACAACCTTGATTTAACCTCCCAGCACACCCACTGCATGTCCTGCTGCAATAAGTAGGTGATCACAGATGTTTGTAGTGAAGGTTGTTCTCTAATGACAAGGACAGCTCTGAAAACTTACCGGAATAACCAGGAAACAAAATGGAAAAATAACTGATTTTCAGGATCTTTTATTCATATATACAAAAGCCACCCACACGCTGATAACAAAGACAGGATCTGTCAAGTGCGCTAACACACAGGCACAATGCTGTCACCCTTTGGCTCTCACGCTGCTCTCACTGTGGTCATCTATAGAAGCCAGAAATATCCAGGAGCAACATCTGTATATGTGTGTAAATGCAGGTGCAGCTGAATGAATCTGCAGTTGACCCTGTGGTGGTCTCAGGTTTCAGTGCAGGAACGGCCAGTTTGTTGGGAAAGACTTATTAAATGTTAACTTAAGAATTTGTTGACATTTTAATGGAAAGTGGACAATGGCCGTACAGATCAGAAACTGTCCTCGTCCACTTTTACTAATCCAAGAACATTTTCACACCTCATTCAATTAAAGAGAGCATTTCTACCAAACAGTTTTAAAGCACAAGACTCTGACAGAATTTTAAAAACAGAGGTTAAATTAACCAGGCGGATTGCCCAAAACTCTAGTTTCTCAAATGACAGCTTTAGACTAACTGCTACACACTTACATGTTAAGATGCCAAACTTTTACTGAAACATGCTCTTTGGCTGCTACTCTTGATCTTTGTTACAACTGAACAGGGGGTGATTTGTCTATCACACACCTATTTAAGTTTCAAGTTTGGCTTACAGTTAACATTAGTAAGGTGTTGTTACTTTTGTAGTGAAAACCAAAACGGGCAGTTGTAGTTGTTAGCTGTGTGGTAAGCTTCACCTCAGCTTATTTATTTAAGTCACAGAGACCTAGAGATGGTTTGGTGACTCCTGGCAACCACCAGTGACTAGGGGAAAAATGTCTATTTCCTAACTGGCTAGTGAGTGGTTGCTTTAGGTTGCTGGCTGACTCCAGATAAAATTAGTCACAAAAGCTATACAGTCTTTTGGCTTCTCTCTTTAGGGGTCACCACAGCAGATCTGCCTCCATCTCACATTATTTAAAATATCCTCCTCTGTCACAATAAACATTTTCCTTTTCTGTTAAAACTACATTCATGAACTCTGTGGTCTTCCTCTTTTTCTCCTCCCCTCCCATGACATATTTTGTTTGGGATAACCACCATCCCTGCTCTGTACATGTCCAAATCATCACAGCATTGTGTCTCTCTCTCTCTTGATCTGAGCTAATCTCGTCCCTCATGCTCACTCCCAACTAGCAGATTGCTGCAGTCACCCATAGTTAGACACTGACTGGTCTGCAAACACTTGCCAACTGCTCACTAAGTGCTAACAAAACTGTGAAGAGTGTGAAGCCACTCAGAAACAGGGAATGTTCACTTGCAGTTAACATGTATCAAAAGTTACATCCTCTTTGTGACCAATTTCACCCACTGACAACAACCTCCAGCAGCCATGGAAATGCAAGTGGTTGCTGGAGGTTGGTGATTGCCAGAGATACACTAACCGGTCTCTATCCCTGTGTGACTGAAGCCTTACAAAGCTGGATAGAATGTACTCATGTTTATTGTGACAGAGGAGGATATTTTAGATAGGGTGAGGTGGAGGCAGATGATCTGCTGTGGTGACCCCTAAAGAGAGAAGGCAAAAGAAGAAAACAAACGTAAAGATTTTGTGACTGATTTTATCTGGATTCAGCCAGTAACCTACAGCAACCACTCGCCAACCACTCAGGAAATACACATTTTTCCCAATTTTTCTCTGTGGAAGGCATTTGAAACATTTGTTAATGTAGTTATGTGATAAATAATATATCTTGTTCTATCATTAATTCCACGAACAGCAGAGCTGATTCTATCCTGTCCTCCAACCCCTGGGTCAGAGTGTTCCTGGGTTATCAATATCTGTGATAATTATCTGGGCACAGAATGCCAGAGCGTTCTCAAACATAACTTATTTATTTCCTATCAATTGTTTAATTTCTATTACTTACCTTAGTCATATCACACTGTGTTGTTTTTTTTTTAATTATTGTGGTTTAACAATGATGCACATAGACAAATAGTCACTTGTAGCACATAAACTATTGGTTTTAAAGGGACCATAATGATAACGCTGTGGAGATAACACTGTGGGTTATCGCCACAGGCTAAAGATGGAAAAGTCATCAGCATCACTAATGGAGCAAATTTTGCTGACTGACTGGCCAGGTTACATCCACAGATGACTGGTGTACTGGACAAGAATTTGAGGCTAAATTATGCTCTGTTTATTTGCTGTTTATGTATCAGAATAACTATTTACTACATTTTAATACTTTTGAGAGATATTCCCAGATCACAAAGGTAAGATAACAGAGGCTGCAAGTATTGGAAAGTCTGAGTGCTCTTAATTATGTCATAGTTTGGCTGTTTTTGTGCACAGCTGGGATTCTAGGTTTGTGTCTTTGGCCGGCCTTATCTGTAGTTTGTCATATATAAGAGAAGCCAGTGTGTCACTGCTTCCCCAGTTAATCAACAAAATCATCATCAGAAAGCTGAGATGCTGGGGTAAAGTGAAGATTACTAGGGGTTTAATCACTAAGAGCACCGTAAGCACAAGCCAGCAGGGCAGTGAGGAGGGGACACATCAGGCTCGAGACCAGAATAAAGCAACTGAGCCTAGCGCGAGTACACCCTAAAACTGGATTTTTTTTTTTAAACAGCACAAGATCTAGCAGCAAATTCTCTACAAAAAATACATAATGCAAATATGATTTACAGAGAAGAGTCAAAGTTAACACAGTTTACCCAAGCAAATGGAAAATGCTCATTTTAAATGATGTTGTCATTCATTGAGGGAAAAGGTTATCCAAAGCTACCTGGCTCTTTGTGAAAAAAGTGTTCGCCTAGAGGGAAATAGCAAAGACCCAGCAAGAACCGCAGTCAAGCAGGAATAACTGGAAACGCATATTTTCACATCGCTGTTTTGGCCCACTCTTATATGCTTGTTTTAATGAGTCCAGCGTTATTGGAAGGTTTTCAAGGATGAACGACCTGTTTAAGGTTACACCAAAAAGCATCTCAACCTGGACTTTGACTAAGCCACTCCAGAACTGTCATTTTGTTTTTTGGAGCCATTTGTTTTATTATTGTTGAATCATGAACCTTAACTGAGGCAAGTGAGGCCTGCGATTCTTTAGATGTCATTCTGCTTTTTTTGGGACCTCCTAGATGGGTTGTCGATGTGGTCTTGGGGTAATTTTGGCAGGCCCGTCACTCCTTGGAAGATTTGACACTGTTAGAAGTTTTCTCCCTGTGTATAATGGCTCTCACCAATGTTTCACTGAAGTCCCAAAGCCTTAGAAATGGCTTTGCAATCATTTCCAGACCGATAAATGTCAATGACTTTGTTTCTCAGCTGCTTCTTTAGATGATGTGATGCTTTTTGAGGTCTTTTAGCCTGCCTCATTTCATCAGACAGGATCTATTTCACTGATGTTTTGATTCAACAGCTCTGCCAGTAATCAGGCCTGGGTGCAGCCAGTGAAATTGAGCTTAGCTTTCCAAAATTGTGGTTAATTATTTAATTCATGATTCAACAATGCGGACAAACCCTTTTTCACAGCACTGTAGCTGCATTTTCTTTTCAAAATTTGCTCATAATCTATAAGCACAACTTAATCTACTTTTATCCAGTCATAGAACAGTTATAACACCTCCACCAGATCGACTCAGGAGACATTATGTATTTGTGTTGGAGAGTCTCTTTTATTTTGGAAGAAAAATCCTTGCTTGGTGGTCTTATAATTTAAAGTGTCATTAAGTCTCTTCACCCCCACCCCACCCCCACCCACAGTCTCATGGATGATTAGGAATTATAATAGCACGCTATAATTAATTTGACGTTCACATGTTAATGGTTAAATGTGCAAGCTTAGAATGGGGTCTTTAAAAAAATCACCTGTCAATTACAGAGGCCTACAGAGTGCCAAATGTTTATGGAATCTGTTATACTTGCCAGACAGCATGTGTATTTGATCTGGAAAGTTACATTTAAAAGAACAGCAAAATTCAGCCATTTTACCCAAGCGCATGTACATACCCAGACTCACACTGACTCAGCTGGAAACAAACAGATTCTGTAGATTTGACAAAATCAGTAGGATTTTTTTTGTTGCTTCTCCAAGTTTACTAATAAAGGAAAGCTCAAAGTTTGCTAATTCCAGTCTAATCTGTTTATTAAACAGTGCTGTGTGCTGGCAACATATCGCATAAAACAGCCAGTGCAATGTTATCATGCTGAAGAAAATCATAAATGTAGGAGTTTTTGAAAGACAGTGTGGTAAATAAGCTTAGCTGTCTTTTTTTGGTCTCCACTACCTGTGCTTACAGTAGCCTGTGAAGCTTGTGAAAGGGGGCAACTAGGCTAGCTTAGTATAAAGACTGCGGGAAAAAAAATCTGGCTGTCCAGTTTAATTATATGCCTCCTACTATCTCTAAACTGTTTATTTAAGTCATACAAGCCCAGTTAAAGGAGTTACAACTCATTTCTTGCGGGGAAGAAAACGTCACATATTCAATTTCCAGTGTTTATGCTAAGTTAATCACCTCTCTCGCTCCATACTTGCATAATATACACACATACACACATGTATGCCATGGAAATGATTTTCTCATCTCGTATACATCCCAAACTGTTAAAGGTCCAGTAACGCATGTCTCACAGTCACGCTGAAATGTTTGATAATGTTTCCCTTGTGATACATGTTGTTATGAAAATGTTTGCTGAGATTAAAGAGTGTTACGTGTCATTGTTTTCAGTTTAGTATTCCAACATTACTTAAAGAGGCAG